CTCTATGGAAGTCAATAAAAAATAGGCGAGATAGGTTGGTAGGACACCTTCTCAGGCATGAAAGTCTAGTCAGAGACATATTAGAGGCAGAAACAGGAGTTAGGAGGGGTAGAAGTAGACCTAGATTAGATTACTGTTCGCAAATAGTTAAGTTAGTTAAGGATGTGGGCTGTTCTAGTTTTAGGGAAATGCGAAGTTTAGCTCAGGATAGGAAAGAGTGGACGTACGTGTCCAACTAGTCTAAAGACTGATGACCTTATGATGATGATGATAGAAAATCATATAACAATTTAATGCTATAAAAATGTGGAAGGATTTTCAATCAAATTTTACAAGATGCTTCTAAATAGATCGCTAATTAATTAATTATATCCCCGTATTATTTTGTGGTTTGTGGGAGGACAGTGAAAGAGTAATTTCCGTAAAAAAAAAACGTATTCCAATTTTCTCTGTAGTTACATTATTAGAGTTGTAATATTGCCTGCATGTTGGGCTGTCTTTGGATTATATGGTAAATAGTAGTTTAATTGAAAAAAGTTAATTAAAAAAATATAAAAGTTAGTACCACAGAGTTAGTAAAAGGCCTGGTGCTGCTCCCCGTGCAGACTCTTTGTTGATTTCTTGATTCGTAAGCATCGGGCATGAAAGAAGTGGAAAGGTCAGGGAAACAACTGGCATTCATGGGGTCCCTAGCGCCGTCGCAAATTGAATTTTCACTTATCAAAACACTACTCGCGTCAAAATCTGTCTTTTTATTCCTTCTACGTGGGACTTTTTTGAATTTCGCGGAACTAAACGTCCTAGCAAAGAGACTTTTCCTCACCAAACTATTACGCACATCCTTCCCATTTGAAAAAACACCGCTCGAGTCTCTACTATCATTTAATCTTCTCAAATCATCGACAACATCTACCTCAAAGGCTCCAGATGTCGAGAAAACGTTTTGATTATTAGACGCGGTCGCTGCGACGCCTATTGTTCGGCGTCGATTGGAAAGGTAATCGAAAGGAGACCGAAAAAATTCAGAAATCCTTTTAGACTTGACGTTCTTTTCACTATAACTCAAATTTCGTCTTCTTTTCGCGTCTGAACCCAAATTACTGTTGGTTTTTCTTTTACTCGAAGAAAAAACATCTACAGTAGCATTTAAATTATCATTAATAGCATTTCTACTGCTAACACAATTATCATGCGACTTTTCTAAAACTGTTTCTAAATACGGCGTGCTTTTAATACTTATTATTTTCCTGTTGGGAGTTTTTGAATTGGAACATTCACCAAACAGCTCGTCAACTGTGTTAACATCTTTATATTTAAAGGAAGAGTCATTTAAATTATTAATTTGCGACGGTGATGATGACAATGCACTGGTAAAGGAAATAAAGGGGTTACTGTTACGAACTGGGGTAGATTTGGTATTAAGTGGAGACTCTAAAGGCTCCAATATGTAAGCCTCTCTATGATCCATCACCTGCAAATTAGGATCCAACACCAAGCTAATAATGTGCTCTCACTGTTCATTTTTAAAATCATTGGCCACATTTAATTAAAAGCAAAATTTACAAATTTCAGTTGTTAACAAAAAAATTACACCAAGGTTTAAAGTTGAAACAAATCTTCATTTTAATTCAACATGACCAATGCTTCTTCACATTTCTTTCTATTAATGAAGGAATAAACACTTGATTGAGATTAACTTGTGTTTTCAGATTTAACTTTTAATAATTTCTATTTGTTCTATTCAATTTAATCCTTCATTATTTTATTTAATACAAACAAACAATTACAAACACAGTGCAACATAAAAGTAGTTGATCACAAATGGTACACAAGTACAAAATAGTTTCTTACCACATGAGAACAGTGTGGATCCTCCAAAGTGGTTGCACAACCCCCATTGGCTTCTAACACTTCTACCATATGTTTTTCTTCTTCTTCAGGAAAACCCACAAAACAAACTTTTGTACCACAAAAAGGTTTCAATTTGTGCTCCGCCTAAAAATTTTAATTATCCATTTGAAATGAAAAAAGGTAATTGTCTAAATAATATTCACCCACTTACCACAAAAGCATCCATTGTAGCTGAAAATTCTAAATCATCTTTCCTATCCCAACTATTTAAGACCCAAAATTCATTAATAACTGGCACACGAAAAGTTATGGCATATTTGTACTTGTCTCCACCACTTGCTTTTGCTATTAAATGGGTCACTTTTGTTGACATTTCTTTCCTAATTGACCCTCCCATATGATGAACAAGTGGCACAATTTTTGTCTAAAAGCCAAAAACAAATAGTATATAAACTTAAATGATATTCTATGTATCCAACTTACAAGATCTTCTTTGTTTCTAAAACCAGTAAAACATACTATAACTCCACTCATTGCTAGATTATACAGGGGCCTTGTATTATCAGGCAGTTTTTCATTTTTATTTGCCAACTGCTTGAGAGCTGGAACTCCCAAAATTTGCTGCCTATGCTTGTATAATTCATTAAAAAGATCCCCTTCGAAGCTGTCCAATATGAAGATGGTAGTATGGGACTTATCACCCAAGTACTCAAAGCCATTTTCTGAAATTACAACTGGGTGCCCAAAGGACTTTGCCAACTCACAAACATCTGCATCTTCACCTACTGACCCCGTAAGACAGATCTGTTTATTTGATGGTCTGTGAGCTAAAAACAGATTGTAAAATGGATTGATAGCTCATACATTTCTTAACACGTGGGACTGAATACTAGAAAAGCTATAGACGAAGAAAATTAAGACATTTTGCTGTTATTATTTCAGAATCTTGCCTATGTTTCTGGTCCTGTATTGAATGGACAATGTTATATTTTCATTTCTAATTCAAGTTAATGTCATTCTTTTAAAGGAATATTGTAAATCTAGGATGAAATAAAGCAAAAATTTCTAATAATAAAAAAAGTGGTGCTGTGCAAATTGGTTAGTTTAACCTTGAAAACGATCAACATAACCTAATAAAAAATTTAATTTAAAACGATAGCTAATTCTAATTTAAAGTTCAAATATTACGCAATTATGGCTTACATTCTATTCTCGATATTTCTTCTGCATTGGAATCGCTACTGATTGAAGATTGTTGATGAATATGAACGATGGCTTCGTCCATTTTGAAGATTCTATTTTATACTTCCAACAGAAAACGGATTGACTAATGACAAGTTCATTCAAATAATAATCCAGGTGCATGTAAATTTTAACACTTTACATATGTTACACTTTCTTATTAATTGATAAAGATATAAACACATTATAACAGTTAAATTTCACTGTTTGTGCAGACAAATTGCTCGGCAGAACTTTGAAGTTAAACGCCTGCTTCTTATTGGTTGAGCTCGTGACGCTTTTCGTTTAAAACCGACAGGTACAAAAATCGCTTTATTCGGATTTACCTGCATACATATTTGCCCATCAAGGATTTTTGTTTAAAATTTATGTTTTTTTTGCAATTTTATATGTTTTATTATTAAAAATCTGCAATTAAGACCATTAATACTCATTAATTATTAAACGCAAATTTAATAACTAGAGCCTGATAAAAACCTGTAAAGTTGATATTTGATTTCAATCTGTAAATTTATTACCACTTTTATTAATCGGATTGATAATTTAATAGTATTATAACATTTAAGGAATATTTAAAAGTATCCTTAAGTTGATAGATTGGTTGTTTAGTAACCCAACCCTACCTAACTTTTAAGTATAGTAGATACAATTGTTTAAAAAAAAGCAATAAACTGAATTAATAATTAGACTGTTTAATTGCATTCAATGATTTTAATTTAATACAATTTCGTTTTTTCTTTTCAGGTGAAAGTGATATGCGGTGTTCTTGTGGCAGTGTCAGGGGCGACAATTGTAATTTAGTTGAAAGGTAATTTGCTTTAATAATTATTAACAAAATATAAAAAGCCATAAGCTATGTTACCTCTGGGTACATCAAAATTCTTAATATTCATTTAATAAATTAGTTCTTTATACTATTAACTTATACGATAAATTCAGTGTTGATGCCCTTTTATTTGTGGTAAGATTATCTTTTAATTTTTTTTTGTAATACCTGCTTTCAAATATTTTGGAGGTTTATAGTATCACGATATTTTCAGAATACAATTTAGATTATTTTTTGCAAATTCTTTAATACTCAATAATTCAAATTTTTCAATATCTTGAGCAAATGTTTAACTTTTGAAAGAGAATAACATTCTTAATAGTGCACGCTTCGACAAATTATAAAGTAAAAACATGATAAAAAAATTTATTAAATAAACGAAAAATACAACAGTTTTCGGCAACGTTAAATAGAAAATCCTAAATAAGCTACGATAGTAAGGTTGCACTGCAATTACACGTTACATAACGTATAAGACGATTGAATTATCGTAATAATTCGCAATTTATTTCGATCAGTCTTATTGACTACTACAGTTCTAATACTTCATGTAAATAGATCTATTAAAGATACGACCCAGCAAAATATCCCCTTTTCTTCTATATTAACCACGAATAGAATTCAAAAATATTCCGCATGTGCAAACTATACTCTTCGGTATTTTTTGAGGTCGTAATCAACAGATCTATTTCTAACATTACACATTTAAAGCCTTCATTCATTAAATAAACAGAAAAAATCAATTTAATGACATAATTTAACATAATTATTTATCAAACAGAAACAACAGTAACTGAGCAAAATTAATAAATTAATGGTGCAAAGTCTAAAAAATAATTTCTGTTTTCCAAATATGATAAAAACATTTAAATAAATATACAATGTACAATTTTATCAATACTTCAGAAGTCGCTGATCACTATTCACATTTCATTAGATAAATAAAAAAGGAACAATATGTTATCAACAATTATCTGAGACTCAAGAAACAATTAGCAAATATCAAGTTGCACATTTAATTTCTTTTTTTTACTCGTTTAAATATATAACACACGCTTTCAACTAATAAATATCGATTTATTGCAAAACTTGTTAAGTGAACTGTACATAGGAATAAAATAAAAAAACAATAAAATCATAGTAATAAATAGATATATATAATGCGGGCAACGTTACCTAGTTATGTGTGTATATACTTGCATTTGGCGAAAGCTAATAATCCTCCCTCAGGATTTCTACTTCTCTTTCACATTCGTTTATTACCTTCCTCTTTTACAAGGACCAATAACTTAATTTTTTGCCGAATTACTAGCTTGCTCGTCATTTTACAACAATATAAAACTATATAAAATCTTCTTCATCGTCACTGAAATCGTTATTAACTTTTGAGTCCTTTTTTCTACCGTAAGACTTACTACTAGACGAGGGGAAATACCCCTCATCGTACCTGGCATTTTTTCTGGGAGGTGGAAACGATTCACAATCGTGGTATCCATCAAGTGATTGCGAACTTGAATAAGGCGATCCGTCTCTTGTGGGAGAGCCAGGAGGACTCAAAGCGTTCAAAATCCTCCCTTTCGATTCATTCCAAATATTCGTCAGCCTTTCTCGCCCGAAAAGAAGCAAAAAGTTTTCGATAAAGTCCCGGGACTTCTCCTCCCACTTGGCGATCATGTCATCCTTACGTTCCCCTATAGAATCGATGACCTTTTTGCCTTTGTCTTTGAGTTCGTGCATTTTATTTTGTAACCGGATCTTCTTCTCGCTCAAATACGAAATGTTCAGGTCTTTGGCAGAATAACCCCGTGCTAAATTTCGGCGGACGTATACGTCATAGTCGCGTACTATTCTGGCCACGATGTCTGACGTGGAGACGCCTTCGGTACGCTGCGTCGCGACGAACATGCCCTTGGCCTTCCAGGGCGCATAGATGTCATTGCAATTTTCGGTATCATACGGAATGTCGTCGTGAGCTATGAAATCGATCTTGTGTTTTTCGACAAAGGATTCGTCCAGTTCCCAAGGAGCATCCTTTACTATCTCGTCAACATAACGACAATGCCTGACCGCCTCGTAGCGTTCGTCTTCAGTCATTACTGTTTTGCCTTTTTTTCGATGGGTTAGGGCATCGTTACAAACTAAAAAAGGTTCTAAAATTATTTCGATTATATTGTCTAACTAAACCTTGTGAAAACTGACAAGGTAAAACAAGAAATTAAGGATTTAAAACTTTTGAAATGATTTACATCATCCATCAAACATTTACACTTAATCACTTACAAATTAAAATTATCTTATAAGTTCATTGAGGAATATTTCCGACTTTAAACACAAACCTGACTAAGAAATGACATTGAAATTATACAAAAAAAAACTATTATTAGGTTTATATAATGTTACTCCCACACATAATTACAATTGTTTGGTCTTCCTCTGACCCTGAATATGCTATGTCGTGATAAGTAAAAAATATGTAACTAATAACGAAAACTATTGAATGTGCTGTTAGAATCTTATAAATATATCAAACACAGCAGGGATAAAACGCAATGAATCGGTATTTACTCACTTCCAACGATAAGGTAAACGTTAGGAAATATGTTTTTGGCTTGCAGGAGCTGCCTTGCGTGACCCTGGTGGAACAAATCGTAGATTCCATCAGCATATACTCTCACTGGTCTAGGAGCTTGGCCATTTTTTGCTACATCAAAAGTAATCTTTCTACTGTAGTCGCATCTATTACGGGTTTGAATGGCAAGTGGCTCATCACTGAACGGGGCCTCCTGGCAAATAGACTGAAAAAGAATTTTTAAATCAGATATCTAATGAGAATACTGTTTTCTGCTTTAATAAGAATACCTCATCTTCAATACTCATTAACTCCATAAAAGACTATAATTATCAAAAAAACTAAAAACAATTTTAGCAACTATTTATTATAATTGTGCATTTTGATATTTGAAAGTAATTAAAATATTATTTCTGACATAAGTGTCATCTATTACAAAAATCAGACTGTTTGTAAGCAAACATACAATGTAGGTGACCATGAAGGAGTTTTCAAAATTCAATTTTTAATAGGGATCAAATAGGAGTTCAGAAGTTTATAATAGGAACAAAAAGGTAAAATGTACTTTAACTAACTGCACACTGATTGAAAAGTTAAAAAAAGTAAAATTAATTAAATGGGATACTTATTTAAGAGATAGTTTCAAAAATATATAAAAATAGCATTAGGTATGTATTAAAATTTTGAGACTTGAAAGCTATAATTATTTTTGGATAGTCACTTCATTTTTAAAATATTTGTAATGAAAAGAGTAATGTACCTAACTAAAACAGTTTAAAAACATTGAGATTAAAGCAAGAGGAAGCTAGCAATTAAAGATCTTATAAAATTTAGTTTAATTAGCCTGATGATACTCACATTAACAATTTTTAATTTCATTTTTACCACATCTATTTAACAGTTACATAAGCACTCTATGTACTCATTTATGTACAAAACAATCACACACAACTGAATGTTTTCCGTTGAATCAGTAAGGATACAAAAAAAGATAAACTATCAACAGTCTGTCCCATGTTTCTAGTTTCATCTATTCTGAAATGAACATGATAACAGACTGACTTATATTACCTTGACTGGTTGGAGGAGTAATCTATCTGATAAGAATAAATTATCTTCTGAATGGCTCCTGGTCCTCTTTCGAGACATCTTTATGCTAGTAGGGATGCAAACGGTGAAAGTGGGTATTTCTAAAATAATTGAAAACTAACTTACTTTAGCGCTAATATGTATTCAGTAATTATCAGTAAATTATCGTCCATTAAAATTCAATTACTTAATTGCAAGATGATCAATTTTAGGTTAAGGCTTCGATCAATTGGATAGTTTATTTTCAGACTTACCTAACATCAGAAAGCACTGGTTTGTATTAAAAAAACAATGATATATTTATTATTAAAACGTACACGTAACTTTTTGCGTCATAACAGCCAGGTCACTAATTATTAAAGTATCACCCTTCTGATTCTGGAAAGAATTACTGTACACCATTAATAGGTATCAATTGTAGTTGAGTTTGATTGTAAAATTGGAAACTGAATTTTATTTGCCTTTTTGGCACTTTTTGAAAATGTAGCACAAATTAAAGCCGACACAGCACTAGCAGCAAGGTGACTGTGAGTGAGTACATGCCCCACATACACTTATATGACATGAGAGGTGCAAGTACAAAATATGTACCACGGAAGCAAATATCCAACGTGGAAAAAGAACGTGATCGTATGATCGCTGTCAATTCTGAGAATGTGTCTGCTGAAACATAACAATTGTCCTCATTGTGTATAGCTGTTTCAAATCAAAACGTCTTTACTCCTCAATATTAGCCTTAATAGCCTTAAGAGACAAATTTATTCAATTGGCAATAATTTGCTATACGAGTTTCGCTCAAGCACATTGATTTTATTTTAAATTAAATGCGCCATGCCAATTTCTTTCTAATTGGCTCGTTAAAAACAACGTCACATCGTATGATTTATTTGATAATGAACTGCAATTCTATTGGTAATCGAGATCATGATATGGATCTATTCCTTAACATATGCCTACATTTAATAAATTTAAGCACATGTTGGTAATTTTATGAATTTTATATAAGAAAATCTCCAAATTAATATCATTAAATAGAAAAAAAATAAATTTTTTTTAATTTAACAATTTTAGATGACCCGCATGTCACAAATGCATCACGTGATGCAGAGTTAGTGCATCACTGACTTAGTTCCGGTTTCTAGTTAATATTATATATAAAAGAAATTGTGAGTGCTGTCAGCACAGAGCAAAGTAGTAATTACGTAAATGAGTTGCAATTC